CTTTGAAAGAAGAAAAGGGATTGAAGGTGTAGTGCCAGCGGTGCTCATCAAGGGGCCTTGTTCTTTACTGATTTTACACTTCGCCCAATCAATAATGGATCATCAATTACAAATAGGCTGTTGGAGGCTTTCAGAATGTCATCCTAAATTAAACATCTACACCTATACATTAAAACTGAACACAGTCCTACCATTTTTCCAAACACTATGCTTGAAAAAAAGCATTTTTTAGAATTGAATAAGGTTTAACAGGAAAATCTCACCATGTGTTCAGCTTAATCAGTGCACTGACTTTAACCTTTCACACGGATGTATAATCACTATTATTCATTTTTAATAGGCAATCCCTCTGTGACTCTATTTTTAAACCTAACCTTATTAATAATTGTAATTTCTCATAAGTCAAAAAAAAAAAAAACTGTGTATATTCAGCAGGAAAACAGATGCTGTTTTATGATTTTTTTTTTTTCCTGGGATGAAATTAATACTTTTCAAAATGTTTTAAATTGTTCAAAAGAGAAAGGAAAGACATTTAGAATGTTAAAAAAGATTTCTGTTTTAAATAAATGCTTTTCTTTTGATCTTTAGAATTATCAGTGAATCCTGGAAAATGTATGCATGTTTCCACCAAAATATTAATTTAAAATGAATTCATATTAAAATATACATTTCTGAAGTATCATGGGATGCCAACACAGGAATAAATTATAGTTTAAAATATATTGAAATAGAAAACATTTTAAATTGTAATAATATTTCACAATATTACTGGTTTTACTGTATTTTTTTATTCCAAATAAATGCATCCTTTATGAGTACAAGAGACTTCAGTCACACTTTATTTTAAGGTCCAATTCACGCTATTAACAAAACATATGACTTTTGCTTCAAACTCCTAATTTGCTGCTTATTAATAGTTAGTAAGGTAGTTTTTAAGTTTAGGGTATTGGGTAGGATTAGGCATGTAGGATATGGTTATGCAGAATATATGGCAGTATATGCCACAGCCAATATGTTAATAATAGATATGATTACAAGCAACTAGTTAATAGTGAGAATTGGTCCCTATACTAAAGTGTTACTGAGACTTCTTTCAAAAACAATTAAAACTCCTACTTAACTGTGTATTTTTACTGTTATATATAATTTTTTTAAATTTTTTATACATTTAAAATCTAAACATTCTATAATCATATCTGTGTGCATGTGTGAATGTATGTATGTACTGTATATGTGACCCTGGACCACAAAACCAGTCTTAAAGGGGTCATATGATGCTGCTAAAAAGAACATTATTTGGTGTATTTGGTGTAATGAAATGTGTTTATGCGGTTTAAGGTTCAAAAAACACATTATTTTCCACATACTGCACATTATTGCTTCTCCTCTATGCCCGCCTTTCTGAAACGTGTCGATTTTTACAAAGCTCATCGGTCTGAAAAGTGAGGTGTACTCTGATTGGCCAGCTATCCAGTGCATTGTGATTGGCCGAATACCTCAAGCGTGTGACGGAAATGTTACACCCCTTACCATATTGTGATGCCCTGTCCGGCCGGAGCGAAGAGACAAAAACATGAAAACCCATTATAAACGAGGCATTTGTTGAATCCAGTGGGGACATAATTATTGATTATAATGACTTATACTGTCTTTTTACGCGTTGCGTTACATCGCGTCGCGTAAACATAAAACCATGTCTGCATTTGTGATCGGAGAAATTACAAACAACAAGTGTTACTCTACACTGCCCAAAAAACTTGTGTTTGAATCATCAGTGGCAAACTCTTTAAATATAAAAAGCGTACTTACAAACTGTAAGTCAGAACAGCCGGCATTGTAGTATACTCTACCAGGATCAGGAAACAGTCCTCCATAAACAGAACACAAACACACACAGCGCCTTCACGACATGGCGGCGGCGGCAACAATACTACAGCGAGAATAAAAGTTACGCCTTCTTTCTTTGCATGAACATTTGGGCGGCCTTATGCAAATCTTCCCACACAGTGACGTAGACATGTGGAGGTGTGTTAGAACGAGCCGTTTAGGTAGGCGTGGTTGACTCAACTTTTATAAAGAATATCTCTTTGGATTTGAGACTTTAGTCTTTGCAACTTTACAGATCTTCTTTATGCACCAAGAGCTTGTAACACTCCAAAGAGAAGGAAAAATTTAAATCGCATCATATGACCCCTTTAAGTCGCTTGGGTATATTTTTAGCAACAGCCAAAAAAACATTGTATGGGTCAAAATTATCGATTTTCTTTTATGCCAAAAAATCATTAGGATATTAAGTAAAGATCATGTTCCATAAATATATTTTGTAAATTTCCTACCGTAAATATATCAAAACTTAATTTTGGATTTGTAATATGCATTGCTAAGAACTTAATTTGAACAACTTTAAAGGCGATTTTCTCAGTATTTAGATTTTTATGCACCCTCAGATTCCAGATATTCAAATAGTTGTATCTCGGCCAAATATTGTCCTATCCTAACAAACCATACATCAATGGAAAGCTTATTTATTCAGCTTTCAGGTGATGTATAAACCTCAATTTCGAGAAATTGACCCTTATGACTGGTTTTGTGGTCCAGGGTCACATATGTGTTTATATAATCTAAAATTAATTTATATATTTAACTTCAGAAGTGTAGTGCTATTTACAACAGAGAAAAAAGTACTCATGTTTATTAAAGCTCAAAAGTAAGTCAATATCTACTTCAGGTGTATGGAAGAGTGTGACCAGAACATTCATCAGAATTTCTCCTTTTTTCTTCCACAGAAGAAAGTCATATGGGTCTGGAACGACATGAGAGTGAGTAAATGTTGAAATGATGATGAAGAATTTTCTTTTTTGTCCCTTTAAGCATAAGCCTTATATATCAAAAGGATTTTAAGATCTAAGCATAAATTCAGTCAAGTGCATTCAAACAAGTGCATTCTCTCCCAGCACCTATAGGAGAAATGTATACTCTTCTATATTTGTATTATTGTCAGAGTGCTGGTTGGAGGCCACAGTACACCAGCTCTTCACTTCCACAGCCCCTTTGAAGCTGAGCCTTTTGGCACTAAACCCAAATCTTGCGCTCAGAGAGCAGTGTGGGAACCAGTAGGGGGGAGAAGGAGGCGTAAGGACAGGGTTAATGAGTCCGTAGTGGGAGAATATCAGTTTTTTGAGACTTTTTATGGACTGTTATCATTTAGGATTGTGTTAAAAATAATTTATCATATAATGCAGTGTTTTGTGTATTTGCATTTATTTTAGATATATTTATAATGTTTTTTTGTTGCTGTCTCTATATTACTATTGCAAAAACTCACTACAATAATGCCGTACTAACTGTTCAGTGACCAGAGGAAAATCATATATCCTGTTTGAAATATTAATGCAGTAATACAGTATATGACCCCTGTAGATTCAGGAAGTGCAAAAAGAAAAAAGAAAAGCCACCCGGTGAAACTTTCTGTTGATTTTAAAGTACTTTTCTTGAAAAGAGTGACATAACTGACCAAAAAATGCGATCTGGCATTGTTGCATGCTGAAATGCATTGCGTTTATGTCCATTTTAATGAAAACGACAGAACTATTTTTCACTATACAATAAGAAGAAACATACAGAGGAGCTATTTTTTCATAAACATATCGAACAACTACTGCTTTATCAAACTTGCGATAGCTGAATTGTTTGGATTAAACTTTCAGTGTAAAGTGATGGCATTATGGTTAATTTTTTCCATTATGTTACTGAGGGACAGTCACTTCTTGATGATACAATGAATTTTGTGTTCTTCTTCCTTTTTTGCTGATAGCATTAGTTATTTTTCCAAACAGAAGAGAGAAATTTCAACCTTGGGCAAAATGAGCTCTATTAACACACACACATAAACCTCAAACCCAAGGCACTGGTAAGCCGACTGTTGCTGGTCTCTTGTTTTTCTCAATGGTGCTAGTGGAAGAATGCTGCCGACCCCCACCGACACCTCCAGCCCTCATGCATTCATCACCACAGCCAGAGGAGTGTATCTCATGCCTCCTGCCCCTCCTCTGCTTTATTGTCCCATTCTCCTCGCCTTAAACCATCAACCCGTAAACAATCACAGCCCTAGATAACACATGCATCTCCTCTGGCCTTTTATCTACTTTTAATTGGATTCAATTCATTATTGAAATCTGCACCTACCTACCTACTACCTATCTAATTCTATCTATCTATCTATCTATCTATCTATCTATCTATCTATCTATCTATCTATCTATCTATCTATCTATCTATCTATCTATCTATCTATCTATCTATCTATCTATCTATCATATGTGGCTGAGTGGCTTAGTCTTTCTTATCTGAACATTTGCTTAAAACAGAAAATACTGCTATTATTATTATTGTTATTATTATAATAATGTCATTAAAATATAATACAAACTATGTCATTTTATTTTCTTCTTTCATATTCAAATAAACACTACTCCCATTATTATTATTATTATATGTAGTTTTACAAAATAATACAAAATATAGTTATATTTTCTTCTTTCATATTCAACATATATGCTCATATTTGAATATGAAAGACTAAATCACAAGCAGCAAAATCCACATAATTGCCAACTATTTTTTTTTATAGTGGATTAGTTTTTCAAATTCAAACAGTTAAATAATAACTGTAATAATAATAAAAATAAGGATATATAATTATATATTTTGGATAATTTTCTAAATTACACAAATAATAATAATAACAATATACAATTGTGTATTTTTTTTTCAAACTGTATGCTAATATTTGAATATTAAAAACTGAGCTTTGAATAAGCCTTGAATATGAAAGACAAGCAGCAAAATCCACATCGTTTCCATCTATCCAAGTTAAAACCCATTGGATGAGCAAAGCTAAATCGCGCTTGTACAATGGAGGGCTGTGTTTGTGTCTGTCAGTAGTTGAACATTATTGAAAGGAGTAAGAACTTGGGGAGGGGTTGGGGAGAAGAGGGGGTGGGGAGACAGTGGGAGCCGAAATCATTTCCCCTCTCATACTGTGAGAACGCTTAGAATCGCTTCTCTCCAAGTGGACGCGCGTCGGTTTGGTTTCAGAACCCGATTGATTCGGCCGTGTCCGCGCAGCGCCTCTGTGTCCGTCCTCCCGCTTCTTAGCAAGAGCACCGACTTGCATTTTGTCTGTGGCAATGGGACCATAAAGGAACAAATTCCATCGCATTGAAAAAAATAGAAGCAAACAAATACAACCAGTGAAGACACCTCACAAAAGAAGTGGACATGGAGACGCGCAGAGGAGATACGATATAACAGATCGGACAAAACACATCTAGGATTTACTTCTCGACTTGAACACTTTTTGTTTCCCAAAGGGTTATAGAATTTTTCTTCTGCTAGATTTCTTAGTTACACGCAAGCATGAACCGAAAAGAGATGAGGTCGTGTTTGAGATGCTGGAGCGTGCCGATGCTCTCTGTCCTTCTGCTTGTCTTCTTGACACCGCTGTTTGCACATGGTAAGATTTTTCACATGCATATTAAATCAGCTGATAGTTAAGACAGAACAGCATTACAAAATGAGAATGTCGGTCAGTAGTGCAGCCGCTGCTGGGTTTTGCTGTGCGTAAGTCATGACTGCGCGCCGGCTGCTGCTGCTGCTGCTGCTGCTGATGATGTGCCTGGACCAGCGCCGTGGAAATGTAGGTTAAATGTCGAACTGGGAAATTTGGGGCTTTGTCCAAAATGCACATCATTAATTAAAAGGAAGGGACACCACAGAAAACATCTGCAAGCAATTTGCAACCATTTTTTTTATATTAATGACCTTAAATAATGTACAAATTCCTCATTCCATATGGCTGTTTTATGCAGTAGTAGTAGTGGTAGTGTAGAGTTACTGTGCGGTGATTACTCTACAGAGCAGCTGTTGTCACTATGGCAATGATGGAGGCTCACAAAGACAGGATTAAAACGCGAAATAATTTATGCTCAGACATTATCGCGCGGCAAATTACACAGTTTATGTGTGTAGTTTGATTTTACGCACGCATTAAGAATGTCTTTATAGTTGTAACGGTTAGCCACTTGGGTTATTCCAGAGATTGTGTCGTTCTCCTCCTTCTAAAAGACTGCCAAAGGATGGAGGACCAACCCAATGGGAGCAACGGTTTCCTTGACCAGGGGTGTGTTTAAAATTCCTATAGATCACTGAGCATTAGAGATTATCTCATTGACGCGCCTTGTCGTTATGTAAATTGTTTATTCAGATTAGATTTGACATCACTTCAAATCTATTGTATAATTCTACATGGGTGGTTAGAAGGTCCATTGTCCACCTAGTTGGATGCTCAGTTTCGCCTAGCAACAGGATTGGGAAAATATGGTGTCTTCTTGAATCTGCTAATAGGAATATGAAAATGGATGACAATTAGGGTTTATGAAATATTTTACTTGATTCCCAAAGCGGCACTACATCAGCTATACACCAGCTGCTGTTATGGTGGCCAGTGTGATCTTGGTCTCATTCAGGTAAAAATGATGTCACCGGTGGCCATGCGCTTTGTTAGCTTCATGCATGAACTTGCTTTTGATTTTAGATCGGTTCACTTCCTCCCTCTCAATGCAATGTATGTTTTTTTTTTTGTTTGTTTTTAGAATTTATAAAGAAATTGTTATATTGCTTTGTTGACTAAATGGTAATTTGAGTAGATGAAGTGTGCCACTGGTCATCATAGACGGCCTTTTCCGATCCATTAGGTCATTACTGGCAAGGTGTAGCCTGCAGGAAAATTAGATTTGTCCCAGTAACTGGTTTGATAATGTATTCGCTTTCAATGCTCTGATCTGTATTTGCTGAATCGCCTTTTTATTGTCTCAAGAGTCCAATGGACACACTTGCCATTTTCTGTGCAGAGAGATTCTGCTGCTGGTAGAGAAAAAAGGTGTTGCCTGCCACGTCTTTCCAATCAAACCATAATGCTTAGGCTGTATCATGTATGTATCATGTTCTTTTATTATGTAAAGTAACTGCTTTGATGTCAACAAATGAAAATTTGATTTCAATAATTTTTATTTATTCAATGATCCATGCATGATTAATATAGTAGTTTTATCAATATGTATGTGCCAGCTGTTACTGTGCATCAATCCAAAGCATTGAACACTGAATTCTGATCTCAATTCCCTTGAGATTTAGAGGAGGATATCCAGATGCTTTATCCTCTAACACTGAAACCCTCACTCGATCGAGGTAATGTTTGCTGTCAGTCCCTACAAATGGAATCCACCATTCTGAATCTAGGCTATAATTCCCAAATGAGCAAGATGTGCAGTTTTAGTTAAAATTTCAATGCAGTCCTGAGTACCAGCAATTAAACCTCTCCGTTCTTTGTTCCAGGAATATGATGTCATTTATATAGCTTCTTAAATTACAGGTTGCAGTTTAGTATTAAGTCTTGTTGTGACAAATAGTGCATTTTTTGTCACGAGATATGGTTGTTTTGTGGATACATTTGTGTATTATGAATTGGGTGGATTTGTAGGCAAAGGGGCCGTGTCTTTTCAGCTGGATCTGTAGCAATCTAGTTGAAAACAACAACGTGCATGTTTTGGATGGTTTTAGGTGAGCTTAATCAGATTTGCATTCATTCACAATCTTTTGCTGCCAAAGAAAGTCACTGCCGTCTGTTTTCAGAGTAAGAACAAGGGGAGGAAAAATGGCATTATTGGTGATCAGATTCGTTTGTTTTAGCAATATTTTGAAGGCAGGAGTTTACTGGGTCTTCATTGCCTTTTAATTAATGAATTTAATGCAACCAGAGGAAAGGGAGTGAATTATAAAGATGTGCTGTGTTGATGTGGGCTGCTGCCATTTGGTTTCATCAGAAACTGATCACCCCACCCCTAATTTATCTAATTTAATAAATATTTAATTAACCTTTCAAAGTAGAAAAATGACAGGCTATAAAATAAAAATCAGTGATTGTGTTGATGCTAGAAAATTAAGCAGCTGTATATTTTTTTTTCCATTTTTTGTCGAAGGCTTGGCACAGGTTTATTTGATTTTTTACTTGAATTTGTATGATGTGGACTTATAAATTTGATGATGGTTTTTCACACAGCACATTTGAGCTCAATCATTGCATTCACTCTGCACAGTGAGGGCAAGCTGGTTCCCATGGCAACACATCCCTCCTCCATCCAACCACCTGTTGAGTATAGAAATACTAGAAAATTAAGCAGCTGTATATATTTTTTTTTCATTTTTTGTCGAAGGCTTGGCACAGGTTTATTTGATTTTTTACTTGAATTTGTATGATGTGGACTTATAAATTTGATGATGGTTTTTCACACAGCACATTTGAGCTCAATCATTGCATTCACTCTGCACAGTGAGGGCAAGCTGGTTCCCATGGCAACACATCCCTCCTCCATCCAACCACCTGTTGAGTATAGAAATGAAAAGATTTATGCAACGGGAGGTGAAGAGACGTGGCAGCTGTCTGATTATGTCTCAAGGTCAAAAGATCTTACTGTTAATACCTCTGCATAATTAGTCAAGGTAAAATATTCCATGGAGGGATGGAATCCTGTGTTTTTACAAACTATGGAATTTCTTAAAAGCCTGTTGAATAGAGGCATTTTTGTGTTGACAACACTGATGAGTTGCTTTTTTTGAATTTGCTCCCTATCCATCTTTATTTTTTGCATATATAAGTTTTTTGTCATTGCAAAGTTCTGGAGGGATGCCGTGATTAAGGCGCTTCATTCAGTGATATAAAAAATAAAGCACATTTGGCATCAGCTCCTGGATGTACTGCTAGACATAGAGGTTAAGGCCAGTATTCCTCATTAACACATAATGCATTTCACACATATACACTTCCGTTTAAAAGTTTAGGGTCAGTAACATAATTTAAAAAAAAAAGAAATTAATACTTTTATTCAAAAAGGATGCATTAAATTAATCAAAAATTACAGTAATAACATTTATAATGTTACAAAAGATTTCTACTTCAAATAAATGCTGCTCTTTTGAACTTTCTATTCATGAAATAATTCTGAAAATTTTATATTTTTGTTTTGACAAAAATATTAATCAGCACAACTGTTTTAAACATTGATTATAATAATAAATGTCTCTTGAGCACAAAATCTGAATATCAGAATGATTTCTGAAGGATCATGTGACATGGAAGACTTGCTTTGGCATAAGAACCTACTTTCAAGATCATTAAAAAAATTCTACCGCCTCCAAACTTTTAAACAGTAATGTATATTTATACTATTATATTTGTTTTTAATAAACTTAATAACCAAATGTTATTGTTAATTCCATTTTATTCCGGAAAAAAAAAATCATATTTATGCCTAACCACCAGACATGTTCACAAGTCTCTGAGGTCCAAGTCCAAGTCAAGTCTCAAGTCTTTGTTCTATTTATTAGCAACAGTCCTTTCAGCTAGTTATTGAGGCTAAATTGGTTTTGAAATACTGATTTCACGATATGATTTTCTCAAAAAAATACTTTTAACAAAATGTAAAACAAATTAGAAATCAAAAGGTGTCCATTTATTAATTTTCAGACAAAATGCTGCACATTTCTTTGTAAAATTGAAATATGTCAAACAACAAAACTAAATTGAAATTTTAAAACAAACCCCAATCAATCAAATGACTAACACAAATTAAATAAATCTCATATAATCAAACTAATGTCTGTGCTCTTTTTCAATTTAAAATTAGAGGCAACCACAGTATTTTAAACACAACACAATCCTAACAAAGAGGCTGCCATACATGCAGCATGAGCAGTTTTTAATCTACATTGGATTGTATAATTTCAAAATTTAAAGCAAAAACTAAATGTTCTGACTTTAATTTTGTGAAAATATTCTATATAAAACATCTGCATGAAACAAAACAGCAGACAGGCTGAATTAGAATGCAGATTCACTCTCTGCCAGCAGGTGGTGCTTGAACAGCAATTAAACATAATTTCCTTGGTTTCCGCTGTAAACAAAGCAGCGCTGCGGTTGTGAACACTACTTTAATATGCATTATACAGAGGCAAGATAAAAAGAAAATACCATGTAAAATTTTCTAAAGACTGCCAGTTCCCCTCAGAGATGCATTCATATAAACTCCCAGTCCCATACCAAATGACTTGCGTTTTTTACGAGTCTCATGAGTCAAAAGTCCAAGTCAAGTCTCGAGTCAGCTGTTTATGAGTCCAAGTCAAGTCCCAAGTCTTTATTTATGAACCCAGATGTTCGAATTTGTGCAACGCATTTTATGGACGACAGTTTTTTGAACCTAGAAGAGTACAAGGCTGGCTGTGCACAAAGGCTATTTCTAAAAAAAAAAAAAGGGTCAATTCCGACTTTGCTATGACAATCTGGCACTTCTGAATCAGCGACTGTAAGTATGTTTTGTTACTAGTTTAAGTATTTGCTATTGACTGTTCAAATGCGGAGTTTTGCGCAGTGCAGAGTAACGCGTTGTGTGTGTGTGTGTGTGTGTGAGGGGAACAGGAGAGTGAACTGCCTGTCAGAAATCATAGCACATCAGCTGTCTTAATCGCGGCTTGTGTACTGTATCATCCCGGTGTCTGTCACGCGACTCTGTTGCCCTTTCGGGCTTGAACTGATGGTAAAACTAATGACATTATTAACTGTCTTGATATTTACTTTGAAAGCTTGAAGCTCACGATTATGGTAAGGGGCATTACATTTCCGACGCATGCTTGTGGTGTTCGGCCAATCACAATGCACTGGTTCAGCTGGCCAATCAGAGCAGACTGCGCTTGTCAAAGGAGGGGGCTTTGTTGAAAACGACGTGTTTGAGAGAGGCGGGGCATAGAGGACCTACAATAATGTACAGTATTTGAAAAATAATGTGTTTTTTTAACATTAAAGCATGTCAACATATTCTGTTACACCAAATACACAAAATAATGATCTTTAAAATAGCATCATATGACCCCTTTAAGTGCAACTCGAGTCCAAGTGACAGACTCGAGTTTCCATCTCTGCTAACCACCACTTTCCATGATCCAGTTAATCAGTGGATAAAATGGATCTTGATGGTCCAGCACTAGTTTTTTTCACATTAATTGTAAATTAGAAATAAGTTGACTTTAAAGAAACTGCAATGTTACAACAGACCTATTATAAGTTACGATTATGATAGAAGATTACAGAAAAAGGTTAAATGAAGCTGTTGGGTCCAACAGCTTAATTTAACTGTTGGGTTTTTCTGAGTTGTACCTCCCACAGTTTTTGCTCGGGCAGCCTGCCATCAGAAAACCATCTGAGGTACAGACAAGCTCACTTTCCACCCTTCAGTGTCTGCAGAGCTGCACAAACAAAGAGCTTGGCGTCTCCCCAAAGTCATGCAACTAAGATCCCGTGGCCATCATTCCTCCCAGCCTGGCCACCAAACAAGCGGCAAACCCCAAATTACCTCCTCCCCTCTGGGCTGCATTGGGGTGCCTGAGAGAAAAGGGGTAACTGAGTATTATGTAACAAGATTTGACCATCTAAGAGAAAAGGGGAAACACAAGGGCCTGTTGTGTCCGCTTTGCCTGGGGCCACTGTTTCCTTGCTTCTGTACTGCGTCCCGTCTGGGAGAAGCATTAAATAGTACGGCAGGAGATCTTTGATAAAGCCGTGGCTGTAAAGATCTGACCCAGATCTGGCTATTTAACCCACAAAATCTGCAAAACCAGCATTCCAGCTGGTGTCAAATGTTTTTATTCTTACAAAACAAATAGTCTTGTCTGTCTGACCAACTCGGCGTATGTGACAGCATATGTGAAAATCCTGCTCCTAATTAGGTTACCGTCAGGTATCCATGACATATGTTTGCAAATGATTGAAGGACACTGTGCATTAACTGTTCTCACTTATCAAATTCAGACCTTCCACACCACAGTTTGGTTTTTATCCCGAATTTAATCACTTGCTGCTCTATACATGAGTCACATTAAAACACCATTATACAATTTAGCAGATACAGCATTAAATAGTACGGCAGGAGATCTTTGATAAAGCCGTGGCTGTAAAGATCTGACCCAGATCTGGCTATTTAACCCACAAAATCTGCAAAACCAGCATTCCAGCTGGTGTCAAATGTTCTTACTTCTACAAAACAAATATTCTTAACTGTTTGACCAGCTCGGCATATTCTGTTAGAGGAAAAGGAGATACCTAAAAGCGTTTGTGAAAATCCTGTTTCTGATTAGGTTACCGTCAAGTATCCATGACACACATTTGCAAATGATTGAAGGATGCTGTGCATTAACTGTTCTCGCTTATCAAATTCAGATCTTCCACACCACAGTTTGTTTGCTTTTATCCCAAATTTAATCACTGGCTGCTCTATATTAGTCACACTAAAACACCATTATACAATTTAGCAGATACACTAAACTGCAAATATGATTTTGCTACTCAAGTGAGAGATGTATTACTTTGCATTGGCTGTGTTAATGGTGTAAAACACTTTCTTTAAACGTACAGAGATCATGAATTTTAATTACACATCTGATTTCTATTTAGATTGATCATGTCTTCCTGTATTAGTCATTATATTTTGTATTAAAATGAACATAGGATTCTTTTTTTTACTCTGTGCACTTAAGCTAAAGATATTTGTCTACATAGTGTTTACATGGTTGTACCTTTAGTTTTTCAAATCAATTTTTTCAAAATCATTTTTCAAATCAAATTTCTGAAGGATCATGTGACACTGAAGACCAGAGTAATGGCAGCTAAAAATTCAGCCTTGCCATCACAGTAGTAAATTACATTTTAAAATACATACAATAAAGTAGAAAACAGTTCTTTTAAATTGTAAAAATATTTGGCAATTACTATTTTTTTTACAATTACAACCTAAGGTTTCTAAATATCCAATTTCATGTGCTTTCTTTTCTGTTCTAAACGTACAAAGCTTGAATATGTTTCCTCTTTGTTGTTTTGTGTTTGGTGTTTTTGCCTCAGTATTGATTTGACATCTGTGTTTGAAAGGCGTGTTAATCTTGTACGAATGCAAAGACAAATGCTACCACAAAGGAGTTATATCAAATTAATCTCCGTCAGATTTGTCACATAAATACTGCATTAGTGATTCACGCTCAACTAATAAAATCCAGACCATGCACATCTGGCCATTTTTGGGAACATTTTTTTCTGGGGAGCATCTCTGTGCCAAAGACCTTAGTCTATACTGTCACATGTTATATCTCCGACTATACTAAATGTATTTCTTTATTAGTCACTGGATTTAAGTAAAAAACACAGATGCTCTTGGAACAAAAATGTCCTGGCAATACAGAAGTAAATAAACTTTTCATTGTTAGAGCGGATAATGGCAAAGGAGAATCAATGCAAATCCGCCATCTTTGGAAACAAGGGTCTTCAAGAAAGATAAACTATCATGTAAGTTTGTTTGGATTGTTACTCTGTGCAATAGAACAGCAGGATCACAGATCCACTGTGTTTTAAAATACACTGTTATCTGAACCCATATACTTGTTCACAAAATGTGCTATTGCCATTCCAGAAATGCACACAATTTCCTGTGTAGTGGAAGCCACAAAATATTTTTGAGCTTTTAGTCCACAACTATGGAATCTCTGTTCATAGAAATATTTCCCAGTGGCTAAATGTCATGTACTGAATTCATGAAAATGAACGTAATAATAATAATGAATTGCACTTGAAGCTATGGGACTGTTAGTCATTGAGAAAAAGACCTGCTTCCATACTGTATTAGTTCGGAAAGAGAAGATCTTTTTAGCTGACCATTACTTCATTGGCAGTATCCATGCTTTTAGCAGTATTTTTGGACCTATTGTGAATGATTCATTCGTTTATGTTATTCCAAAGGAAAAAGAAACTTCCTTTGTAAACTATCCACTGCAAAAATTACTTTAGTTGTTAGAAAACAGTTTTTTACTTGTTTCCAATAACAACATGTACAAATCTTTCAAATATGATACATTTGCTTCAGAAGCATAGGTTGTATTTTGAACACAAGTGCAGTGATGTCATTTCAAAATGTCATTTTATTCTCATCTCTGAACATACTTTTTTTTATTGTCAGCATGCAAGCCCTGTTATTTTTCAACCACCTGCCATATAGTGTTTTTCACAGTCAACTCGATGGATAAAATCAAGTAACTCCTTACTTTTTTTTCCCTCATTGAATATTCTGTTCACATTATGGCTGTAAAATAATGAACACTATAATTACTTTAATGAAATTACAATGTTGTTGGATTAGACCTGATAAGATGACAAAAGAATTTATGGGCTTTTCTGGTGGTCAGATATGGTGTGTGTCTTTTAAAGGGATAGTTCACCCAAAAATGAAAATTCTGTCATTAATTACTCACCCTCATGTCGTTTCAAACCCGTAAGACCTTCGTTCATCTTCGGAACACAAATTAAGGTATTTTTGATGGAATCTGAGAGCTGTCTGACCCTGCATAGACAGCAATACAACTGAAATGTTCCCAAGTCCAGAAACATAGCAAGGAGATCTGTAAAATAATCCATGTGACATCAGGGGTTCAACCGTAATTTTACGAAGCTACAAGAATACTTTTTGTGCGCGTCTCCTCCGCATCACCCTGTAGCGTCATTTTGGAGAATATTTAGCTGGACGTAAAGAGCGTATGCTCTCAAATTGTTGAATAAAGTCATTGTTTTTTTCTTTTACGCACAAAAAGTATTCTTGTAGCTTCGTAAAATGACGGTTGAATCCCTTGGGAACATTTCAGTTGTATTGCTGTCCATGCAGGGTCAGACAGCTCTCAGATTGCATCAAAAATATCTTAATTTGTGTTCCGAAGATGAACGAAGGTCTAACGGGTTTGAAACGACATGCGTGCGAGTAATTAATGACAGAATTTTTTAATTTTGGTTGAACTCTCCTGCCCCGGAGCCACTATGAATCTAGTCACAATCCCTAATCTTGTCTTTGAGAAACATACACATTAGTAAAATAATTGCACCTAATCTCAAGGCTTGCTAAAGAAACTTTTTAAAGATATTGGGAAACCTACCACTGAGAAGGAAATAGCAAAGAGTTAAATACCAGTGGCTTTTTGAATGAATGCAAGGGTTTTCATTGATTCGTTGAGTTCTCATAACTGTAATCTGCTCTTTTCAACAGGTAACTCTGTGGTGGGAAATGAAACTGAGGTTGATAGTGCTGTTAATGTGACCTCCTTGTCTACCGGGGATGAGAAGATAGAGGAGGTGTCACAGTTCACCAGCTTGTCCAGCTCCTTAGACCCGACTCACACCGGACGAAAGTTTAGAGATGAAGAAGCAGGTAGTGGCATGCTGGAAGAGGTCTTCTCGCCAACTCCTGGAACTCCAACTTCCAGTGAGGGAGCCACAACTACTTTGGCAAGCCCAGATAACAGCCTCGACTCTGCAGAAACTGAACTCTTGCCTGTCAATACCTCCTTCGTGAAGGAGCATGTCATCTCCTTCGAGGAGGAAGAGGAACAGGAAACGGAAGAGGAAGTGAGGCAGCAAGTGCCTACACTACCATCCTGGCAAGATGCTAAAGGAGACATGGAGACCACTGTGTTTGACCTCGACCATGAGACATCTCCCACAACCCCATCCCCAACTCATCCCCCTTCCCCTTCCCCGTCCGACGTCACCGTAGATTTCTTTGACTCTGGATCCCGCCGCACGAACCTTGGCCGACCGACTCTTTCCACACACGAGCTTCAGGGCCGTGACCCCACCTCCTGGTCCATGCCCGAAAATTATGACTACATGACGCCCTACGACGACAGTGTGTCTCCCACCACCGACGATTACCCTTACAGCAGCACTACTGACTCTTACGATGATGACATCTCCACTACTCCTCCTTCCAAACGCTTCCCTCCTCGATTGCCCTCCAACCCCGTTTTCACGCTCCCCAAAGGAGCCACTGTGGGAGAAGGCCCCCGTGCTCCTCCTGGTGTGGTCGACTCCGTTAATGGCTCAGAGTGTCGGCAGGGCTTTGTCCGCACCAATGGCTCCTGCAAGTCCCCATGTGACCTGCAGCCCAACTACTGCTTCAATGGGGGCCAGTGCTACGTTATGGAAGGAACCCAAATGTTCTGCAGGTAAGCGCTCAGAAGATACAGGTTATGCACTATGGCAAGAATTACTATAAAAGGTGCTGTTTGTAATTTTTTGCCTGTACTAAAACATAAAAATACCATAATATGTTTGTAAATATTTAGGAAACATGGTTCAATATCAAGCTCACATACTTGTTTCTCCAAAAAACAATGCTACAGCCAGTTATTCTATTTTGAAATGTGGGCTCCGTGTCGGAATTTCTGTTTTTGTTTTGGTCTGCATGATTCCGCCCACTGCCAATTTACCCAATAGTATTTCGACACCCCGGGTTGCCAGTTGGTGGACAACACGGCATATTGTAGTCATGGAAGCCAGAAAACTAACTGGCTCAAAGATCGTTGATTCTACCCAACCTAAAAAGCCTCGGCATCCATCTAATAATTGCGTTCACATCAGAGGCAAACCGTACCGGAGTTCACATGAACCGTACCCCAGACAACCCTTTTTAGGCACCTGCGAAACATACCCGAGTTCAGAAAACAGCATTCACATTAACCAAACGCTGATGTCACCCGGGTATGCACCAAACATGTTAGTGTGAAAGCCCCCTAGAAAACTTTATGAACAGAGGCATATTAAAATGTTGATAAATCACCTAATCAACTTAGAGTGTAAGGCTCGGCACCTTCCATTGACAATTGTGCTCGTTCCTCTTGCATGTCATCAATCTGGCAACCCATATGAGCAATGATTCTGAGGAGGGCATGGGAGAAACAGCTATTTCCATTATTTCCAACTCTTTCCATTATTTTGAATTTGGAGTGCCGTACCCACTTCAGCCACTAACTGTCATTATTACATACTGCACCTTTAATACTGCTCATACTTGTCATTTGGTTTGTTTAGGATAGATGTGCTATTACTTATGTAGGTCATTAGAATTGTGATTTTTGGCTAGTGGATGATGAAATGGGTGATAAATCCAATAGACTTACATTGAAGTTCTCAACCCATATCGAGCAACCAGAGTACTTGAGGGTGGGCTCTTCTGACGACTTCGCAATCATCCAAAACACCCTAGCAACTGCATAGCAAACATTCAGAGAACCTTAGCAACAGGCTTATGTTCTGTTCAGAACTGAATTGAGAATGCCATTCCGATTCAACTCCCTGTGGGATATGGCCAATTCCATTCAAATTCACACACATGAATTAAAGGGGAGCCAATCTGCATTCTGTCATCCTAGTACGATGATGGCAGCTTTCGCATAAGCAAACACCACTGGCATTTTCTTTGGGAAATGTAGAAATGTAGTTCTAAATTGGAATAAATCAGAGGGAACCTCTTGAGAAGATCAGCCCTCCACATGGCACATCTAGTCAAGAGGGGAACTAAGGACTCGCACAAGGACAGGCCGAGTGTTGTGGAGCAGAAAGTACCACATGTTTTCCCAGATTCTTTATGAGGAAAGTTTATTAGGAAACTTCCCTCTCGCTGCCAGATTATTTTTAGCACAACTGTTTTTGCCCAAACATGTGACCCACATTTACACTAGTCTAGTCACAGTTTTCCTGTGTCTTGCATTATGCCCACAACCCTCTCTTTTGCTAGAAAAATATTATTAAGAAGTCAAAATGACAATAACTTTGGGTTGTTAATTTTACTATCACTACAAATGCATTTACCATGAAAACAAACGCAGGGCCTGTGACTGCCGCTATAAAGAGGTCATCATGAGGATTATGTTTAAACTGAAAATAAGTATGAAGAGATATGAAATTCAGCTTGTTCAAGGGTAGATTAGGTCAAAACTGGGGGAGGAGGCTTGATAGCTATGCTCACTGCTTCTTGAAAAGCAACTATGATATTTTTCATATAAAAGTCACATACTGATAATATTTTTGGGTTTTTAGTGGGGTATTCCTAGGGTAAATTAAAATCTCATGGTTTCAGTTGCTCTCAATACTGCAGAAATGTGAAATTGAGTGCAGTTCTATCTCCACAATGTCTTCCTGTCATCCAGAGGTCGTAATTCATGTCGTGATTAAGATCTGAGACCATCCCCTTGCCGGCCAGTGACCATTAACACCTTGTTTATGGTGATAAATCTCTCGCCCCTACCTCTATTTGGATTTGTGCAATGACCCTGACTGCAACCCCAACCTTACGTCAGCTCAGAGGTCATGGTTAGCAGTTAGAGTAAATCTCAGATGTACTTACATTGGTTCCGATGTATTCCATTCCTAGAGGAACATTTTATTGCTTAGAGGTTGGTCTTCAGAGGTTATGCTTCACGTAAGGATTTTGTCTCAGATGTTCCTCCTTTTAAATTTAAGATGGTTTACATGCAGTATGCAATAAATATAGAGCTATATCCATGAGTAAATATCTATAAAATAAATCTAGATAGAATAGAACATTTGATTTTGTGAGAATTTGATAAACATTTAAGTACACTCTTAAAAATAAAGGTTCCAAAAGTTTTTTTTTTTTTTTTTTTGCAGTGATGTCAAAGAAGAACCACTTTTGGTTCCCCAAAGAACCTTTCAGTGAACATAACCTTTTTTTAGTGAAAATAACATTTTAATAATCTACAGAATGTTTTTCCACTATAAAGAACCTTTTGTGGAATGTAAAGTTTCTATGAATGTTAAAGGTTCTTCATGGAACCATAGATGCCAATAAAGAACATTTATTTTTACGAGTGTACATATTGAAACCTCTGTTTTTTTTATTGATGATTGAGCACAGTTTGAGGCATTGTTGAGATCTATTTCTAAAGATCAGGAAACAGATTTACATTTGCTCTCCATTTAATCCCATTTCTGTTTAGGGGAAACAATTGTCTGTCTGCCAGGTGTGCTAGATTTAAAATATTTTTTCTCTCCCTTTCCCCCCTAAAATCATAGCGTTGTAACATAATATGAGCAGTCTGTGCTCATAGTAAATGATCTTGCTGAAAACTTACTCCCAGATACTCTTCTCACCTAGTCATCATAATTACAGAGTAATTGATCACATCTTTATTCACTCTGAATTAGAGCATCTGCTAAATGCCTTCAAATGTGATTTTTCTGAGCCTCACTCTGAGTTCCTCCCCATGCTCATGTACTTGCCTTGTAAACAGACGCTTGCCCTACCAGTAACCCCCCCTTTGGGACCGGTTACCCTTACTGACTCCCCAGAACAGGCCTAGTCAAAGTGGGTCGGTGGAGCTCTGGGCACCTGTGTGCCATGTTGGCTTTGTTTATATGAGGCTCGTCTAAACACACTGATTTATTCACCACTGCAATCTTATTAGAGGATGAATGTTAATGGCTCAGACATCCCCCTCCCCTGCGCACACACCTCTCTTTTAGTGATCTGACTAGAGCTTTCTGTAAGTATGTGCGGACATATGACAGCTGGGCTTTCATTTCAGTTACAAAACATGTTTTTAACTGTGAAACTTTGTGAACATCCCAGAGGACTTTTTATGCTTGGAGGTTGCTCTTTTATAGCTCAGTACAACTAATAGAGTTCTCAATTACATTGGTGTTCTAACGTTTGGGGCCAGTAAGATTTTTTTAAAGAAATTAATATTTTTGTTCTGCAAAAATGCATTAAATTGATCAAAAGTGACAGTAAAGCCTTTCTGTTCAAATAAATGCTGTTCTTTTAAATGTTCTATTCAAAGAATCCTGAAAAAATGTATTACAGTTTCCATAAAAATATTAAGCAGCACAACCTTGTGATAATAATAAGAAATATTTCCACCAAATCAGCATATTAGATTGATTTCTGAAGGATCGTGTGACACTGAAGGCTAATGTCTGTTGAAAATTTAGCTTTGATATCACATAATTTAATTACAATAATGCAATTAATTGACATTATTAATTATATATATATATACATACAGTATATAAACAGAACAAAACCGAAAACAGTTACAGGTTACAGTTAAGTTGTAATATTTATCAATATTTCTTTTTTTACTGTATTTTCGATCAAATAAATACAGCCTTGGAGACTTTTAAACTTAAAAAAAAAAAAAAACTTTAGAACAGTAGTGTATATATTAAGTATTATCTTTTTCTCAGATGTTTCTTCTAAAATAAAAATATAAATAAATTAAAAGATTGTTCAAAGACGCAATACATCAAATTTCTGGGTTGAAATCCAGTTGTCCAGCCTTTGGGTAAGTGCACAGACAAGCTGCAATGAGCCAATGAAGTTTCGAAAGTGTAAGACGGAGGAAGTAGGAAGCACGAGTTAAAAAAACTGCCGCCTACATCTCCTCAACTGTCTCATTCATATTTTTACGCTCTTTTTCTTTTCTTTTTTTGCTGTCTAGAATAAACAACTGAGATGTTAAAGATATTTCACATGTGATTTTCCTTCCTATGGGGTGTTAGTCATCCACAGGAGGACATGGAATACAAATTCAGAGAGTTCAGAGAGATATGTGGAGTTTAGAGAGAGAAAAAAACAAGTGTGAGTCAGACTTCTGCTTCTACAGATTAAGCAAGTCAGGCTACTCAAAAAGTGTGTGTGTTTGTTTGAGTTAATGAAATATTCAAGCAAAATCTATTTACTGTTTGCATCAGTTTTTGTCATGACTATTTGTGTCTGAAAAGTTTGTTCCTGTCTCATTCAAACCTCCCATGCTAGTCCCTGTGGCACAGAGGACATGTAGACTTGAATCTTTTTAGAAAACATACATTTACAGTTTACAGTGTTGGGGATGCTACTTTGAAAATTCTTGCTAGCCAAGCTACAATCTACTCAAAATTTCAAGTTAACACTACAGTCCAGCTACTTTTTTGAAAATGTTTTTAGCTACACTGTTAGAAACTGTTATTTTAGCTCACAGTTTACTTTACACTACTACTATAAGTACCCAGCTATCAAGGTTTGATTAATTTTCTTTTCTATAGGCAGTTTGATTAATTCAGACAGTTTGGTTGAATTTGGAAGAACATACTAGCATACTATACTCTTATTATTTCTGGCTTATAAAAATATGGCAGAAATAGTAAAATTAGTACAGTAGCATGCTATTTTGAATTCAGAC